AATGTCATCAAATCATCACCAAATCAAAATAGACCACCCCCCCAAATAAAAGATAGCATTGTCCTCAATGCTAATATCAAAATAAGATCAGGGAAAGGATTAGAGAGTAAAGAAAACTCCCTATGTGGTCTCTGTCTGCGTCGGGTCAGGCACATGAGTGGGGTCCTCAGACTGCATAGGATCATCAGCTCCCTCCGGGTCCTCTACTCGGATCTCAACATCCTCTGACTGGGGGACCACCGGGTTGTGGAGTGTCTGGATCATCTCCTCTGCAATATGTGTAATAGCAGCCGGCTCCTCAGACTGGCCAGCTGCTGCATCTGGTGCCTCATGCTCTGCTTCCTGTGCTGCTGGGGCTTGCTCCTCCATGAGCAAGTCCAGTGGGATGTCTCCAGCAGATGTAAACTTCTCTACCTCCTTCTTCAGCAGCTCCACTGGCTCCTTTGAGGCCTGAGTCTTCTTCACTTGCTTGCCCAGATCCTTGATAATCTTTTTATGTGTATCAGCAATTTTTCGCTCTTTCATATACTAGGGGATTTCACTTGGAAAAGAAAATGTTAAAGTCTTCAGGATCTTCTTCTGGTTGTCCAGGAGCTTCTTTAGGTTGTCCAGAAGCTCCTTCAATGAATCCTCCACTGATGGAGGTACCTGAAGCTGTGCTGGGGCTGACTGTGCTGCTATTGCACTGGATAAGACAGACAACTTTGATGTAGCTTCCTGCATCCAGTTGTTGATGCTGGATAATGTCTGAGAAACCCATAGTGCAGTCTGAGGGTAAGTGGAAGATGAGGGCACATATAATGGCACGGTGATGGATGGCCCGGATGAAAGAGGAGGCATGGTAGCTGAAGATCCCTCTGCTGTGGAAGGCTCTAACCCGATGGCCACTACCCTTGGCTCTTCAAACTGACCAGTGGAGGTAGTGGCTTTACCCTTCGCTTTAGGGTTGTCCGGTCCTTGGAGGCTATACCAGGAGAAAGGATTTTTAGGCCTCACCTTTGTGTCATAGTGCCTTTTCTCGACCCCTTAGTCCTCGAGATACATGGTGATAAAGTTGGGGTAGGGTTAGGATCTTTCTTCTTTTCCAACTGCCTTGGAGATGTGGTAGGACATGAGGTTCCCCACATTGATTGGATACCCCGCCATGATGGAAGCTATCAAGATCGCCCGGGAGAGTGGAGGACATTATCATGCTGGCACGGGTCCAGCCGGCTGCACACAAATGTGGACCACCCTTTGGCTTCAAAGTTGAGGGTGTTTCTGTCTATTGGGACTCTAGCTGTGAGCCATGCAGGTGTTTTCCCTGGAATGACTAATATCTCCGCTAGCCATGGACGGGCTGCTTCATCTAGGGCGAGCTTCTCCGAGTATTGCACGACTTCCACATCCTCAAAACCGGCATAGTTGTTCAAAGTGGGCCATCAAACCGGATCTTAGAGTTTCGAACCTTTGTCACAGTGGTGCCCTTTTTTATGTGGGCAACATTTGCGTAGAACTCTTTGACAAGGTACTTATTTGCATCCACCACTTCGCTGGTGAAGTACTTCCACCCTTTTCTCTCCTTAAACTGTTTCTTGACATTTGGATTAGGTATCTCTCTACGAACTGTCGCTCAAGGGTGAGCGACCTTTGGGGCCACCATTCCCAAAATTTCAAATATGCTTTGTCGCTCACGAGTCTATCAACCCACACCTCGGGCTTTCTTGACTTGGCCAACCCCCCACATTGGTATCACCCCCTCTCCCGTCATCCGGGACCTCGTCATCATTATCAACATTAATAGGGGCAGCTGTTGAGGCTGATGTTGTACCATGTGGGGAAGATGGTGCCGAAGCCTCACTACCTCCCTCTGAGCCATCAGACGACCCAGAAGAGGAGGTAGGTTTAGTGACTAATCTGAAAGGTTTTGATTGAGCCTCTGGTTGTTGTTTTGCAGATTCTCTCTCAGAAGTCTCCCGGGATGGAAGGTATTCACTTGTGTCCAAGGAGTCAGCAGGGGGTCTCACAAGAGCAGTCATTTTTCTTATTATTCTTTGAGCTGCTAAGGGCAATGCCTGCTTTCCTTTGCCCCGGCCTCGGGAGGATTCTGCCCTCCCTTTTGATTTGACTGCTTCACCACGAGAACGAACCATTTTATGCAACACACAAGAAGTGAAAGACAGTTAGAGTTGGGGTTCAGTCATGCCTTAAAGCAGTACAGATGAAATGAACAATAGTGTTTCTTAGAACAGGGCATCGCGGACCACGTAAAAGTGAATGCGGCCGCGAAATGCCCATCGCGGGCCGCATAAAAGTGAACGCGGCCGTGAAGGACCAACCGCGGACCGCGAAAAAGTGACCGCGGCCGCGAAAGCTAAAATACCCTCAGTGCTTTGAAGTTAGGGTATCGCGGACCGCGGAGTTTTGGGCGCGGCCGCATACCCTATTGAGGACCGCGGAAAAATGATCGCGGCCGCAAATTTCAGATGAAATCGGCACTAAAGAACACTGGAAACTAGGGTCTTCACTAATTTTTGCAAAAATTATAGCAATTAACCATGCAAAGTTACTAACCCCAACCCTTATTAGGCATACAAACACTACCCACATGTATTTAAGCAACAAAAGCATTAATTTGACATTATGGCATGCATCTAACCTAACTAAAAAGAAAAATTAAAACAAAGAGAAAAGAAAAGAAAAAGATAAAATCAAACCATTGAATTGAATGTACCAGTTGTAAAATTTGTAGGAAATCTACACTTGAAGTGAGTGAGATGAGAATGAGAGCAAGGAGAGATGAACAGTGCTTTTTAGGTGTGGTGAAAAGTTGGGGTTCGTAAAGTGTAAAATGATTCAGGAACTCCTATTTATACTTAGAACCAGTGGACCTACCGCCTTACCTGAGTGCGGCTACGAAATTTTGTCGCGGTCTGCACTCTGTTACCTTTTGTAGATCTGCTTCAAACACATGGGCGCGGTCCGCGAAATATTGGCCGCGACCGCAAAATTTCCGCAGTCCGCGAAAATTTCAACGCGGCCGCAAACTCTAAAGGGATTCAACTTCAGAGTGTTGGCATTTTGCTCAATTCAACTACGCGACCATCAAAAAATTGTGTGGCCGCGAAGTGATCTCGCGGTCCGCAAAATTTTGGGCGCAGTCCGCGAACTTTTGTCACTTAGACAAATTTCTTCCTTGTCAATTTCCTGCACTGCACAACCAGTTCCTACATTCACTTCACAACCAGTTAGTGCAAAACAATGCCTAATCTAAGAAGAAAATCAATAGAAAAAAAACACATGGGTTGCCTCGCAAGAAGCGCCTGATTTAACGTCGCGGCACGACACATGTTACCATCATTCACTTGAAGTGGATCAATGCCACAACATGGCTATCATCAACCTTACCAAGGTAATGCTTCACCCGGTGCCCATTGACTCTAAAGATCTCACCATTCTTATTTTTCAAAACTAGAGCGCCAAAAGGAGTTACATGCATCACTTCAAAGGGACCGCTCCATTTTGACTTTAGCTTTCCCGGAAACATCCGTAATTGAGAGTTGAATAAGAGAACAAGGTCACCTTCTTTGAATTCTTTGTTCCGGATATACTTATCATGTAGGTACTTCATCTTGTACTTATACAAGGACGAACTGGAGTAAGCATGGAATCGGAACTCATCAAGTTCATTCAATTGCTTCACCCGAAGATTGGCAGCTACATCCCACTCTAGGTTCAACTACTTCAACGCCCACATGGCCTTATGATCTAATTCCACCGGGAGGTGACATGCTTTCTCAAACACCAAACGATTCGGAGATATACCAATTGGAGTCTTGTAAGCTGTTCTATAGGCCCATAAAGCATCGTCAAGTTTCCTTGACCAATCAGTCCAGTTTGCATTGGCAATCTTGGATAGAATACTCTTGATCTCCCTGTTGGAGACCTCAACTTTTCCACTTGCCTGGGGGTGATAGGGAGTTGACACCTTGTGAGTGACACCATATTTGGAGAGTAAAGTGTTAAAGGCTTTGTTACAAAAATGAGAATCCCCATCACTAATGCTGGCCCTTGGGGTGCCGAACCTTGTGAATATATTTTTCTTCAAGAAAGCCACCACACTCCGTGCTTCATTGTTAGGAAAAGCCACAGCTTTAACCCATTTGGAAACGTAATCCACAACAACAAGAATATAGGTGTTCTCACACGAACTCACAAATGGACACATAAAGTCGATGCCCCATACATCAAAAATGTCAATCTCAAGGATGGTTGTGAGAGACATCTCATTGTTCTTGGAAATCCCACCGGCCCTTTGTCAATCATCACACCGCTTAACAAACTCGCTAGCATCTTTGTACAAGGTAGGCCAATAGAATCTCCACAGCTTAGGACCTTTGTAGCAGTTCTCGCCCCACCATGGTGACCACCATAGGGCGAGGAATGGCAAGCTTCAAGAATACCCAATTGCTCTTCTTCTAGAACACATCTCCGGATAACACCATCGGTGCAAATTTTGAAAAGATATGGCTCATCCCAATGGTAATCCAAGCAGCCCCGTTTGAGCTTATTTCTTTGGTTTGAAGAGAAATCATTCGGCACAATTCCACTCACAAGATATCTAAGGGAACAAAACCCAAGCGAAAACAATTAATAAAGGGCACAAATCTCGAAATTACCAAAACCCGAGCCCCGGGCCCACTTCTCGAAACTCAGAAATATTTACATCAATAGGTTCCTTATCTTCCCACGAGTTCATACATATCAAAAGTGTTCAAATCCGACCCCATATGGTCCTTCAAATCCCAATTCAAAAGTCCAATTTCTCAAGCCCTAGTTCTTCAATTCTAGGCTTAGTTTTCATGATTTTCTAGGTGAAATTCACATAATAATCGAGTTTTTAGTCCAAGAATCTTACCTCCCAACGATTCCCCTTATCCCTCTTCAATCTCCTTCAAAAACCTCCAAAAACGAGCAGCTATGGGTGAAAATAGACCCACATTCGCGGACAAGACGACCCTTTAAACATTCTGCCAGGCTTGAAAATCCTCCTTCACGAACGCGGCCAAAGCCTCGCGTTCGCGAAGCACAAAATTCCGCTGACCAAACTTCCTCTTCGCGAACGTGACCCCACCATCGCGAACGCGATGCCTCNCCCCACCATGGTGACCACCATAGGGCGAGGAATGGCAAGCTTCAAGAATACCAATTGCTTCTCTTCTAGAACACATCTCCGGATAACACCATCGGTGCAAATTTTGAAAAGATATGGCTCATCCCAATGGTAATCCAAGCAGCCCCGTTTGAGCTTATTTCTTTGGTTTGAAGAGAAATCATTCGGCACAATTCCACTCACAAGATAGTTAGCGACATCGGCAAACCAAGGCATCCCGATCAAAGACAAGGAAATGAGTTGTTCATCCAGAAACGAATCATTGATCTCAAGTCCATCATGGGGCCGTCCCTCCTCTTCCAAACGGGACAAGTTGTCCGCCACTTGATTCTCACTCCCTTTTCGGTCTATGATTTCAAGATCAAAATCTTGTAGAAGAAGTACCTACCTCATCAATCTAGCCTTTGAATCCTTCTTACTCATCAAATAACGAAGTGCCGCGTGATCGGTGTGAAAATTCACTTTGGTACCCATGAGGTACTGCCGGAACTTTTCCATAGCAAAGACAATGGCTAAGAGTTCTTTCTCGGTCACCGTATAGTTGACTTGGGCGTCGTTCATGGTCTTACAAGCATAGTAGACCGGATGGAATATTTTATTGATTCTTTTCCCCAAAACCGCTCCTACCGCCACATCGCTAGCATCACATACGAGCTCAAATGGTAAGCTTCAATTTGGTGCGGTAATGATGGGAGTGGTGGTCAAATTATACTTGAGTAGCTCAAATGCCTTCATACAATCATCATTGAACACAAATTTTGCATCTTTTTCCAACAACATGCAGAAGGGGTTCACCACGTTTGAGAAATCCTTGATGAACCGACGGTAAAACCCCGCATGACCTAGAAAGCTCCTCACTCCTTTGACGGAAGTAGGAGGAGGGAGTTTTGATATCACTTCAATTTTTGCTTTATCCACTTCAATACCATTCTTGGAGATCTTATGGCGAGGACAATGCCCTTCTCAACCATAAAGTGACACTTCTCCCAATTATGCACCAAGTTAGTTTCTTCACAATGTGCTAAGACTTTATCAAGATTATCCAAACACTCATCAAAAGAATCCCCCAAAACAGAGAAATCATCGACGAAAACCTCGAGGAATCCCTCCACCATATCCATGAATATTGCCATCATACACCGTTGAAAAGTAGCTGGTGCATTACATAAACCAAACGACATCCTTGAGAAAGCAAATGTGCTACATGGACAAGTGAAGGTAGTCTTTTCTTGGTCTTCAGGTGCAATGAGAATCTAATTATATCTGGAATACCCATCCAGGAAACAATAATAAGCACGTCCGACTAACCTATCCAACATTTGATCAAGAAATGGAAGCGCAAAATAGTCTTTCCGAGTCACTTTGTTGAGCTTCTTATAATCCATGCATACCCTCCAACCGATGACAGTTCTTGTGGGGATCAACTCATTGTTGTCATTTGTAATCACAGTCATTCCCCCTTCTTTGGGACACATTTTACTGGTGAAGTCCATGAACTATCAGAAATGGGGTAGACCACCCCAGCATCCAACCATTTGACGACCTCTTTCTTGACGACCTGTTTCATGGCCTCATTCAACCTTCTTTGATGTTCCACGGAGGGTTTGACATCCACCTCCAATATGATTTTGTGCATGCAAAAGGCGGGGCTTATGCCCCGACTATCCGCCAATGTCCAACCTATTGCCTTTGTCACGATCCGGATTTCCCACCATCAGAGTCGTGATGGCGCCTACTCGTGGTAGCTAGGCAAGCCAACTTAATTACCTTTCCATCACTAGCAATTATCTTTAGCAGTTTATAACATCAATATAGAACATAAAGTCTAATAAGAACAATAGCGGAAGTCTGTCTTAAAATGATGAATTTAAAACGCGGAATAGTCAAAAACAACCTCTACCCAAGATTTGATGTCACATTACTCACGAACCACTAAGAATAAACTAAATACAAAGGTCTGAAAGAGATATAACAGCTGTCTGTCTCGAAACAAGGAGGCAACAGTCTAAAAGAAAACAATGAGAAGAGACGCCGGGCCTGCGGACGCCTGCAAGGCTACCTCAGTCTCGTGAATATGAATCGCCTGCTTCCGAACTACTGCTGCTGCTCCTCAAAAACTGGACCTGTGCAAAAATGCACAGAAGTGTAGCATCAGCACAACCGACCCCATGTGCTGGTAAGTGTCTAGCCTAACCCCGGCGAGTAGTGACGAGGCTAGACCGGACACCACATAAACCTGTGCAGTCATAAATATACAGCGGAAATCGAATACAAGGCAATTAACAACATGGGAGGGGAAACATGCTAAGGGGGATACAATATTAACAACAATCCAGAGTAACAACTAAAAACAGCGTAGGTTCACAAAGAATAAAGAATCAATACTCAAATACAAACACATAGCCTCAATAACTGTTACGGCGTGCAACCCGTTCCATAATTACTATTGTTGCGGCATGCAACCCGCTCCACAAATACCACTGTTGCAGCGTGCAACCCGACCCATATCATTTATCATATTGTTGCGGCGCGCAACCCGATCCTCACATTTTATTGTTGCGGCGTGCAACCCGATCCTCAATATCATTGTTGCGGCGCGCAACCCGATCCTCAATATCATTTAACAGCCCGACTCCCCAAACAACAGTCACAATAAAGGGGCATAAAAATAAGCAAATATTTGACAAACATCCCGGCAAGGGAAAGAATTCAACAAATGCAACCAAACATCCCGACGAGGGAATAATCAACAACGCTTTCTCTTTCTTACTTTCCTTATCTTTTAATTCACTTTACTACTTGGAGCCAACGCTCCAAAGAATCAAGTCTTTTCGTATACTTTCAATATTCGTATCACAATTCGAGCCAATGCTCCCAGGAATCAAGTGATCATATTACCGTTCACATGTTATTCACAACAGCTAGAAATCCTCCAATAAACATGGAGTTCACAACCAAATCATGATAATCACATTATAAGGACTCACGGTCATGCTAGACACCAATGTATAGATACTCGTCACCATGCCTATACATCGTACTCGATCACATAGCAATTAACAACAAGATTCAACTCCTATTCCCTCAAGCTAGGGTTAAACCAAACACTTACCTCGGCCCCAAGAATAGCAATCAACCTTCAAAGACCGCCTTTCCTCTACAATCCGACTCCGAAACAGTGATATCTAGGCATGATTAATTCAATAATATCAATAAAGACTCAAGGGCAACATCCCATAGCCTAGATATGAATTTTCTAGCATTATTCCAAAAATACCAAAATTAGACACCGGGCCCACATGGTCCAAACTCTAGGCTCGGACCAAAACCCGATCACCCATAACCCTACGAGTGCAAATATATAATTTGTTTTAAGATTCGACCCCAAATTGAGGTTGAATCACCCAAAATTCTCAAACCCTAACTCTACCCAAACCCATAATTCTACCTTGATTTCATATTTTAGGGCTAGGAATTCACTAATTAATGAAGGAAATTGAAGGAAACAAGTTGAACAATGCTTGCCCAAGAAGTTTTGATGAAAGGGAGCTTCAATGGACGCCTAAGTGCTTGGAGAAGAAAGGGTTTCGTGTGTCTTTATGAAAAATCCCGTGCTACTGTTCTGTTTTTAACTTAAAAATTCGCTGGGCAAAATTGCCCTATGCGATCGCGGAAATAGGGATGCGATCGCGAAGGGTACCACTGACTGGTCATCGCGATCGCGTGGAGGGTTGCGCGATCGCGTAGAAGAACTACTGGGGGGTCCAAAAACTTGGTCTATGCAATCGCAACCCTACTGGTGCGAACGCATTGAAGGAGGTGCTGAGGCAGTGCGATCGCGTGATCAAGTACGCGAACGCGAAAGAGCAAAGGGCCAAAGGAACGCGATCGCAGGCTGAAGATTGCGATCGCGTAAGAGGAAATCACTGAGCAAAAATTGCAGAAAAATCTGCTACCATTCTAAGTGCAAAAACACCCTGAACCACCTCCAATTCCCTCCCGAGCCCTCGGGGCTCCTAACCAATCACACACACTAACTCAATAACATCCTACGAACTTACTCGAGCGATCAAATTGCCAAAATAACATCAAAATCATTGAATCAAGCCTCAAACTCATCATTTCTATTTCAAACTTCATAAACTTCCAACTTTAGATAATTAGGTCGGGAACACGTCAAACGACGTCCGATTTCGACCAAACTTCACAGAAAGCGCTTAAACAATATATAAGACTTGTGCCGGGCGTCGGAACCAAAATACGAGCCCGATACCACAGTCTTTTAATAAATTTTCATTTCCATTTTCCTTATTAATTTCAGAAAAACAATTTCACAGAAAAATTCATTTCTCGGGCTCTAGATCTCAGAATTCGACTCCGGGCACATGCCCGAGTCCCATATTTTTCTACGGACCTTCCGGGAACCAATCTCAGGTCCGGGTTCGTTTACCAAAAATGTTGACCGAAGTCAACCTTAAACATATTAATATCAAAATTCTTCAAATTTTTCACAGAATTCACATATTTCAACATAAAAGCTTTCCGGCTATGCGCCCGGACTGCGCACGTAAATCGAGGCAAGTAAAAAATGAGGTTTTCAAGGCCTCGGAAGTACGGAACGGATGAGGAAACAGGTGATGACCCTTTGGGTCGTCACAACCTTCTTCCTCCTTTGGAGCATCGCAAGGGTGGCATCTACCTGCACGTTAGTTAAACACGAGGAAAGAATAACAGGTAAAGTGGAACAAGGACCTAAGAACTCATACCTGAGGTGTGAAGGCAAAGGCTTCAACTCCAATATGGGAGGCTCCTCGATTGAGGGCTTTGCTGGTGGAGTCTTCCATTTTTCAAGATCCAAAGAAAGTTTCCTGGGCTCATATGTATATGAACCCAGTCCTTGCAAAGCATTGACTATTCCACCAAGCCTTCATCCTCATTCACATCATGATTCAATAACATAGCTTCCAATGGGTCTTCCACATTAATCATAGCACTTGTGTCTTCAACAATCACTTCGGTCACAAGATCCACAAACGAACACACTTCGTTGCTATTAGGCTGCCTCATTGACTTGCAAACATGGAACATAACATTTTCATCGCCCACCCGGAAGGTGAGCTCCCCAGCTTCCACATCAACTACGACCTTCCCTGTAGCTAGGAAAGGTCTCCCCAATATGATTGGCACCTCGTAGTTAACCTCACAGTCAAGTATCACAAAGTTTGCGGGAAGTATGACCTTGTCGACCCGAACTAACACATCATCAATTATCCCTAATGGACACTTCATTGTCCTGTCTACCATTTGCAACATCACCCGAAGTAGGTCTTGGTTGCCCAATCCCCAATGTCTTGAATACAGAATATGGCACCAAGTTAATGCTTGCTCCCAAGTCACACAAAGCTTTGGCGAAATCGGCACTACCAATAGTGCACGGGATTGTAAAGGCACCGGGGTCTTCTAACTTTGGAGCCATGGAGTGCACAATAACACTCACTTGATGTGTCATTTTGATCATTTCATAGTTCATTGATCTCTTCTTCATTACCAAGTCCTTCATGAACTTGGCATATCCCGGTATTTGTTCTAGAGCTTCAACCAAAGGCACATTTATGGACAAACTTTTCATCATATCAATGAATTTCTTGAACTGATTCTCATTGTTTTTCTTTGCAAGCCTTTGAGGTTACGGTGGAGGAGGCCTTGGCAAAGGAGCCTCGGCTTTGGGCACTACCGTTTTCGATATGTCTATCACATGTTCCCTAGACGGGTTCACATCATTTTATGTTTCCTCCACGTTGTCATAAATGTCTATCCTCACTTCATCATTCACTTGCACATCATTGCTTTGCTCATCATCATCTTGCACTAACACATCATCACTCACAATCTTTCTTGGATTATAAGTACCAGCAGCTCCACCTCTACCACTTCTTGTAATCACCGCCCTAGCATGGGCCGTATTGTTCCCACCCTTCGGGTTCACCACTGTGTCACTTGGTAGTTCCCCTTAGAGAAAGTATTCAAAGCTTGAGAAATTTGGCCAAGTTGAACTTCCAAGTTTCGGATAGAAGTATTGTGGGAGGCCAATTGGGCATCGGAGTCGACATTTTTCTTCATCATTTGCTCGAACATGGATTCAATCCATCCCATCTCATTGTTGAAAGAGCTAGGACCTTGT